CCAAGATGTGAATCCAAGCAGTCTGTCTCCAGTACACCATACCGCCTCCCTGTAACAGCACAAGATCATTTATAATTGAATGTTTATGTGAGTGACTTAAGCAACAGATACTGTCAGAATTCAGAGACGAGAGAGAGATAACAGTGTGGACTGGAGAGGACAAGGCAGGCTTCAGCCAGCAGCATCCTCTTTTGAAAGGACTGTGACTTAGACTGTTTAAAAACAACATCACATCAGATTTTTCTGGCAGTTTCATTTCCCACCTTCCTTATCTTGCAAAGTGAGTTGATAAAATGCAAAGTTGATAAAATGCAAAATTCACGGACGATATGTTCCTGGAGTATAGCTAGCTCATGCTTCAGATTCAGTATGTGCTTAATGAAAGAGAATTCTCCTGGGCTGGGCATGCATAGAATGGAGTCAGCTAGAGATCCCCAGAGAACTGCTTTCTCTGTGGCTGTGCAAAGTAGGAACTACAGCATCACAACTCCAGTTACAGGTTCAACTGAATGGAACGTTCCATGCCTAGCACAAAGTAAGGCATTTTTATCTACATTTGTTTTCTAACGCTATTGTAGACTTCTGGGAAACTGCAGTAGCAGATAGCCAATAGTCATACACAGTAATCAGAGAGTGAAACTCTTTCCAAGTGATAGGGTCAAGAGGTTAGAAATAGCAAACCACTTATAATCTGTGTGTGCATGATATAAAATAAAGACTCAAAGTAATATGGGAATCATAAAACAGAGCAAAGCAAAGCACATGCATTTGCAAAATTCTTTTTTTTTTTTTTTGATGTTGCCTAGGCTGGAGTGCAGTGGTGTGATTTTGGCTTACTGTAATCTCTGCCTCCCAGGTTCAAGAATTCTCATGCCTCAGCTACCCAAGTAGCTGGGATTACAGGCATGCATCACCCACTCAGCTAATTTTTATATTTTTTTGTAGAGACAGGGTTTTGCCATGTTGGCTAGGCTGATCTCGAACTCCTGGCCTCCTGTAATCCACATGCCTCAGCCTCCCGCAGTGCTGGCGTTACAGGTGTGTGCCACTATGCCTGGCTGATTTTTGTGTTTTAGACAGGGTTTCATCATGTCAGCTGGGCTGATCCCAAACTCCTGGCCTCAAGTGACCCACCTGCTTCCACCTCCCAAAGGAATTTGCAAAACTCTTTACTCAACCTTGCTATGTAACTTTTTACTACTCATTATATAATGAGTCATTTTGAATCTGAACCAAGTCTATGAACGTTAGTATGTTCTTCCAATCAAATCAGGACTTAAGTATCCATTATTTATTCCACAAAAGCCTTGTAGAATCAGTGCTTTGTGCCAGGTGCTCTGCTCAGCACTGATGGGCCAAGAATAATGGACACTTCCCTTGGTCCTGAACTTGTGAGGTTGAGACACAGACACATACCTGTGGCCGGGTACTGACGTTTACGGTCATATTAATGAGCACCACCCCCAATCTTTCTTTGCCCTCAGTTTCCACAGCTGGTCAACTCCTCTGGCACAGCAAAGTGCCATAACCTGGTAGAATATTTTGTGAACAGCTTCTCCAGAAAAAAAGTCCCTGTATCAATCACTCCTGCCTGTGTTGTGGCCTTCCTACCAAAACCCAGTTTTTTTTACTGTGAAAATGACTACAATTGCACCTAAAAATTTTTTTTTCTTTTTGAGATAGAGTCTTACTCTCTTGGCCAGGCCGGAGTGCAGTGGCATGATCTCAGCTTACTGTAACCTCTGCCTACTGGGTTCAAGTAAGTCTCCTGTCTCAGACTCCTGAGTAGCTGGGATTATGGGCACCTACCACCACATCTGGCTAGTTTTTGTATTTTAGTAGAGATCGGGTTTTGCCATGTTGGCCAGGCTGGTCTCGAACTTTTGGCTTCAACATTTTGATCCACCTGCCTTGGCTTCCCAAAGTGTTGGGATTACAGGCATGAGCCACTGTGCCTGGCCTTAAAACACATTTTAAATTAAACTTAATTTTGGGATTGTAGTAGATTCATATGCACTTGTAAGGGATACTACGGAGGAACTGTGTACACTTTACCTGTCCCCCAGTGGTAGTATCTGTGTCCCCCAATGGTAGTGTCTTGTAAATCTTTAGTACAGATATCACATTAACATTGGTCAGTCTATCAATCTCATTCAGATTTCCTCAGTTGTACTTGTTCGTATGTGTGTGTACATGTGTGTATTTAGTCCTCTGCAATTCTATCCACCACCACTCTCAAGATACAGAACAGTTCCAGCACCACGGGATCCCTGGTGCTGCCCTTTTATAACCCCTCCCACCTCCCTCCTGCAACTACCCCCTCCCATTCCTAGTGCTTGGCACCCACTCATCTCATCTCCTTTTCTATACTTTTATCATTTCAAGAATGCTATGTAAGTTGGGGCAGGGGCAGGGTCAGTGGTTCACCTCTGTAATCCCAGTACTTTGGGCGGCCGAGGCAGGCAGATCGCTTGAGGTCAGGAGTTTGAGACCAGCCTGGTCAACATGGTGAAACTTTGTCTCTCCTAAAAATACAAAAATTAGCTGGGCATGGTGGCAGGTCCCTGCAGTTCCAGCTACTTGGGAGGCTGAAGCAGGAGAATCGGGATGCGGAGGTTGCAGTGAGCTGAGATTGTGCCACTGCACCCCAACCTGGGAGACAGAGCGAGACTTCATCTAAAAAAAAAAAAAAAAAAGAAAGAAAGAAAGAATGCTACATAAGTGGAATCATACTGTATATGACCTTTTGGGATTGGGTTTTTAGAAGCAGTATAACTCCCTAGAGACTTATCCAATTGTTGCATATCAAATAGTTTGTTCCTTTTTATTGCTGAGTCATATTCCATGGTATGGATGTACCACAGGTGTTTAGCCATTCACATATTGAAGGACACGGTGTTGCTACCAGGTTTTGGCAATTATGAATAAAGCTGCTGTGAACATGTGTATAGGTTTCTGTTTGAACATGTTTTCTTTCTGGGATAAATGCCAGAGAGTGCAATTGCTGGGTCAGATGCTTTTGCGTGTTTTAGTTTTATAAAAAACTGTCAGACTGCTTTCCAGAGAGGCTGAACCATTTTACATTCCTAGCAGCAATGTATGATTTCTCTATTTTCTCCCCATCCTTTCCAGCAATATGTGTTATAACTCGATTTTATTGTAGCCATTTTGATAAGTGTGCAGCAACATCTCATTGTGGTTTTAATTTGCATTTCCCTAATGGCTAATAACACTGAACTTTTCTTCATGTATTTATTTCCCATTAGTATATTCTCTTCAGTGAAATGTCTGTTCCTGTGTCTTACTCATTTTTTAACTGGATTGTTTATTTATTATTTATTTTTTTATTTGAGATGGAGTCTCACTCTGTCTCCCAGGCTGGAGTGCAGTGCCACGATCTTGGCTCACTACAACCTCCGCCTCCCAAATTCAAGTGATTCTCCTGCCTCGGTCTCCTGAGCAGCTGAGATTACAGGCACCTGCCACCACACCCAGCTAATTTTTTTGTATTTTTAGTAGGGACGGGATTTCATCCTGTAGGCCAGGCTGGTTTTGAACTCCTGACCTCAAGTGATTTGCTCACCTTGGCCTCCCAAAGTGCTGGGATTACAAACATGAGTCACTGTGCCTGGCCCTGGCCAAGGATTGTTTATTTTTTACTGTAGAGTTTTGAGAATTCTGTATACATTCTAGGTACTCATCACTTGTTATATGTTTGGTTTTCTAAATATTTTCATCCCATCTGTATCTTGTCTTTTTATCCTCTTATCAGAGTTTTTTGAGAAGCAAAAGCATTTCCTTTTGATGAGGTAAAATACATTTTTATACATCTTAATGTGGCCTCAAGCCTGCAGGTAAGGCTTATGTTGAAGACTATCTCCCAGAACTCTTGAAGGCAGCCTGGAGAATCTTCTCGTTGCTCTTGAGAAATCAGTGGCATGGAATTGTTGCATTTGCTAAAAAAAGTAATATTCAAAGGCAAGCTCCCTCGCCTGCAGAGTTTCAATTGAGTCTGTCTACTTTCCTGTTTTTAATCAAAATCTTGCCAAATGGAAGTTTCGGGCTTCTGTGCCAGATAATTGCTAATACTAAACAAAAAGCAGCGATCGTTTCTTTGCAGTCACATAGAACATACTATGTTAGAAATTAAATGTAAATGTTAAGAGTGTGGTCATTTTTAATTGGCTATAAACCAGGTAGTTAGAACTAGAGAGTCGTATTTGTATCAGGCCGGAAAGCTGCTGATCCACAACATCAGCATCTCCGTCTGTTTGTAGGCATACAGATAAGTAGAGCTCTACTTATCACCATGTGTTCGCCTCAAGCTAGTAGAAAACTTGCTTGCATTTTAAATACCTGATTTATTCTTCATTTTGCTCTGTTCTTATATCCTCGGGGGGGAAGCTTATTGTACTTTTAGTCTTATGAATCTTTCCCCCAAAGGGAACACTTCTCTGCACTATTAAATCAAACTGGAATATTAAAATAAACTATTTTCTTTTCCTTCACAAGAGACTTGCACTTTTGTCTTCAACATCGGGCTTTCCTTGTGTCTTCTTCCCGCTGCGATGACTGTAGGACTGAAACATCTAAGGAAGTGAGCTGCGTGAGGAGACCACCTCCTTCTCGTGTCCTAGCACCATGTCAGGACATAACTATCTTGGCATCTACAGCAAGGCTTTGGTGGCAGGTGGCGAGGGGGGGTGTCTGCCTCACTGTGTAGATGGGCTGGCCCTTCTGGATGACTTACTTATTTCTATATTCTTAGTACCAAGAGCAGAGGCTGACACACCAAATGTGCTCAGTAAATGACCAGAGAATTTACAAATGTCATTAACTACTTACTAGCTGAAAATTGGTAATGTTCATCATTCAGCAAATTTTCATTATTTTCTATTACCCATTCCAACCCCTTAGGAACAGACACTAGTTTTTGTTTGTCAGAGTCATTTTTTAAAACCCTAATGCCTAGAAAATAAGTCAACATTTAATAATGTTGATCTCATTCATTCACTCATTCATTCAGCGAGCATTTATTGAATACTGTGTTAAGAACTGTTGGGAATATCTATACATACCTAGAAGGTACATTCCTTTCAGGTAACCTACACTCTAATATGTACAGGGGGAAAGCATAGAAATTATCACATGAAATATTTAAAGAAATGTAACAGATTGTAACCTTTGTATCGAAATAATTAGTCCAGACTGTAATTAGTTGAGCAGTTCACAGGTCATCTGGTATGGACCAACCACAGAAAGCTCTAGCTAGTGTCTGAGAAAACTCTCGAGTCCTTGGTGCCTCCACTATAATCCTCTGCTAACTCTCCCTCTATTTGTGCTGTCCAAAGTCTTTGCCTTCTCTTGAAATGCTGCCCTTTTCCTTGTCTTCTTTCTGCCCATACCCAGCATTGAATGTTGCATTAGACAGGATTCTTTGGGTTGCAGGAGTCAGAAACCTATCTCTAACATGCTTAAGCAAAAAGAGGAATCCATTGCTTCATATCAATGAAAAGGGGTCTAGGCAAGGCTGGTGTGGTGGATCGGCTGCCCAGAGGGCAGTCAGCAACTTCTTTCTATGCGCATCACTCCTTCCATCAACAAGTGGACCCTGTTTCTCCTCCTCTGTAGTTTAAGCTGGACTTTTGACTTGCCTTGATGAATAGAATATGATGGAACTGATACTCTGCCAGTTCTAGGCTAGGCCTTAGGAAATTTGGCAGCTTTTTTTTTTTTTTTGCTACGTTAGAAGCCAGCCACCATGTAAAAAAGTCCAACTACCCTGATGGAGAGAGGGGATCCCTGCAAGATGAGAGAGTATAAAATAAAAAATTTATTTAAAAAGGTATAAACAGGCCAGCTACAGTGGCTGATGCCTATAATCTCAGCTTTGGGAGGCTGAGGTGGGAAAGGCCAGGAGTTAAGATCAGCCTAGGCACACAGCAGGACCCTGTTGCTACAAAAAAGAAATTAGGCCGGGCGCGGTGGCTCAAGCCTGTAATCCCAGTACTTTGGGAGGCCGAGGCGGGTGGATCACGAGGTCAACAGATCGAGACCATCCTGGTCAACATGGTGAAACCCCCGTCTCTACTAAAAATTACAAAAAATTAGCTGGGCATGGTGGCGCGTGCCTGTAATCCCAGCTACTCAGGAGGCTGAGGCAGGAGAATTGCCTGAACCCAGGGGGCGGAGGTTGCGTGAGCCGAGACCGCGCCATTGCACTCCAGCCTGGGTAACAAGAGCGAAACTCCGTCTCAAAAAAAACAAAAAACAAAAAACTAAAAAGAAATTAACCGGGCGTGATGACGCACCTGTAGTCACAGCTACTCAGGAGAATGAGGTGGGAAGATCACTTAATCTGGGAGTTTGAGGCTGCTATGCGCTGTCATCATGCTATCACACTCCAGCCCAGGTGACAGAGTAAGATCCTGTCTCTAAAAAGAAAAAGTTAAAAAATATATATATAAAAATAAGGACAGAGGCCTGGTCAGCCTCCACCATTCCAGCCACCCTAAGACTCATAGGTGCTGACATGTTGTTTGTAGAAAAATCAACTCAAACTATGTCTCTCCTCTGTTCTCACACCACAAAAACAATCAACACAGAAGACTTCTGTGACCAAATATGGGAGGGGGCGGTTTCCACACACCAAGGAAGCAATCAGTTCTGGACACCAGCTGGGTGTCCTCCAAGTCTACCTGGAGATAGCATCAGATCCCACAGATATTGGCTGAGTCCCCGAGGCTGCCCTTCCTTCAGATGGCAGTCACAGCCCAGGCCTTCAGAACTTCTGACTGACTGGCTTCAAGTTGGGGTTCCCATGACCCCCTCTTCGGGTTCAATTAATTTGCTAGAGCAATTCACAGAACTCAGGGAAACTTACATTTTACATTTTCTGGTTTAGTATACAGGATATCCGAAAGGATACAGATGAAGAGATGCATGTGGTGAGGTAGGGGAAGGAGTGCAGGGCTTCTGTGTCCTCCCTGTGTACCCCACCCTCCGCAGATGTCCAGCTATCCAGAAGCCCCCTGACCCTGTCTTCTTGGGCCTTTTATGGAAACTTCACTGGATAGGCATGATTGACAACCATGTAGAAATGTGATTGGGCAAAGGGGTATATGATCTAATATTAAGAGACTGAGTGGCGAGACCCAGCAAGGCCTGTCTGTTCAGATTCTTCTTGGCTTCTCCGTGTAGCCTTTCTTCCTCCAGGGTATGGGGCACGACCCTTTCTGAAATGAGCCTTATGTCCTACAGTCAGACAAGGTAGGTCAGAGAATTTCTTCATGGCCTGCTGCAAGGCAGAAAGGTGGGGGAAGATTCTTACCTTTGGGAGAGAAAAGAGCAGGTGGAATGAGGGCAGAAGAAGGTATCTGAGGCCAGCTTCTGGGGTCTAAAGTGCCCCAACATCATGACAAGAGACTATTACAGGGGCATTGGTAATTATGAGCCAGGGACCATGGATGAAAACAAATATATATATATATTCATTCATATCACACATGTGATGAAGCCATCTTGGACACTTAAGTCCCACCCAGTACCACATGGAGCACAGAAAAGCCACCTCGCTTCCCTTGGAGCCCTTCCCAGATTGCAGAGTCATGAACTAATGAGAGGTAGTCATTGTATAAGCAAAAGCTTTTTGTTTTGAGATGGACACTGTCACCCAGACTGGAGTGTGGTGATGTGATCTCGGCTCACTGCAACCTCCACCTCTCAGGTTCAAGCAATTCTGCCTCAGCCTCCCGAGTAGCTAGGATTATAGGCACCCGCCACCATGTCTTGCTAATTTTTGTATTTTTAGTAGAGACAGGGTTTCACCATGTTGGCCAGGCTGGTCTTAAACTCCTGACCTCAGGTGATCCGCCCTCCTCAGCCTCCCAAAGTGCTGAAATTACGGGCGTGAACCACCGCACCCGGCCAAGCCAAAGCATTTTAAGGTGGCTTGTCATAAAGCAATAGAGAATGGAAAATGCTGGAACTAGTGCTCTAAGGATTTAGTAAGAAGTCTTTCTCCGTTTCATAGCTCTGCTTTCCCAGGGAGGCTGTCTTTGTATGGTGGAAGGATGTCCACTACAGCATCAGGCTTGCATTGTACCAACTTGGCAATGCCCACTGGAAAGGCATAGGCTTTCCCAGCAGTTCCAGCAAAACTCTGGGGGTGATTCTGATTGGCTCTGATTAACTCACGTGCCTATCCCTGCGCAAGCCACAGTGACTCTGATTGGCCAAGGCTCGATGACCCGCCTCTTTCTGGATCCAAGGATGGGAATGGTCCGCCTTACGTAAACCATCTGGATTAAAAGTAGGAATAGGGTAGATCCCAAAAGAAAACCGAGGTACCGTTTTCGGAATTAAAAGGTGGAATGCTGGGCAGGCTGAAACAACAAACACGCACCACAACATTCAAGCGTAATCCTACCTCTTTTCGTAAGCCTTTCCCCACCACTTTAGACTTTAAACCATTACAGCTCAACTGATCTGGGCTCTTCCTTGGTGCTTTTAGCATCGGCTGTCTTGTTGTGCTCTTTCCTCAATACTTTGCAAGTTAATTCTTATTTCATACCTTAGGTGTGAACCTTTGTATTCCTTATTGTTCTGACTGCATTTGTTACTTTAACAGTGTTATATTTTCCATTACTTGCTGCAAGGAGAAGCTCTTGGAGGTATCAGACCTTAGAATTCTTACATTGATAGGAGGAATTTGCACCTGTGCTTTCCCTCCCTCTCTCTCTCTCCAGGGCTGACAAAATCCTAGGTATTGGCATTGCATCCAAAGGAGGGGATGTGGTCTATTTTCCCCTTGGGTTCTACCACCCAAAAGGAGAGCCAGATGGTGATCAGCACTGCTTGTTTTCTTTCTGTTCTGGGGAGCTTGCTCTTGTGCTATTTAATTTGTATATTTTTAAAAAATAGTTTTGTATGAGTGCCCAGCAGAGCAGCTTTTGAGCAACTAGCTTATGAAATAAATTTAAATGATCTAAAAAAGAACATCCTTTGTTAATTGAAATGTAAATGAGCCTAATAAAGTTTTAATTTATCCTTCTCATTGAGGGTCAGCATTCCAGGTCAGAATTCTAAGAAACATCAAGACAGTAATAGAAATGGAAAGTAGATGCCTGTTCGCGTTCCCACCCAAAGCCCAACCCTGGTTTGTCAGGGCTGAGTTTACTCACACATAAAGTGCCATTATGTTTATTTACTTGAGAAAGTACCCCCAACTGGTGATATGAATTCCAGAATTAAGGATGTCACCATATCTGTTCCTTTGAGTCCTTGTTACCTTTACATTTTTAAATTATCCTGAAATATTGTGTGTATGTATGAATGAATGTATATCCAGTGTAGCAATAGTCATTTGTTAAAGAGCATTATATATCGGCTGGGTGCGGTGGCTCACACCTGTAATCCCAGCACTTTAGTAGGCTGAGGTGGGCAGATCACGAGGTCAAGAGATCAGGACCATCCTGGTCAACATGGTGAAACCCCATCTCTCCTAAAAATACAAAAAAAATCAGCTGGGCATGGTGGCATGTGCCTGAAGTCCCAGCTTCTTGGGAGGCTAAGGCAGGAGAATCACTTGAACCTGAGAAGAGGAGGTTGTAGTGAGATGAGATCTCACCACTGCACTCCAGCTTAGCAACAGAGCAAGACTCCATCTTAGAAAAAAAGCATTATGTATTTATAATTGTGTAAGAAGGCTTCTACTGAAGCCTTCTTCATCTTCCCACCAGAGATATTGTCCTGAAGTTTGTGTTTATTATGCTCTTGCTTTTCTTAAACTTTACAGGAAGGCCAGGCATGGTGGCTCACACTTGCAATCCCAGCACTTTGGGAGGCCGAGGTGGGTGGATCACTTGAGACCAGGAGTTCAAGAACAGCCTGGCCAACATGGTGAAAACCCATCTCTGCCAAAAAGACAAAAATTAGCCCCGCATGGTAGTACATGTCTGTAATCCAGATACTCGGGAGGCTGAGGCATGAAAATCACTTTAACTCGGGAGCCAGAGGTTGCAGTGAGCTGTGATCATGCCACTGTACTGCAGCCTGGGCGACAGAGTAAGACTCTAAAAAACAAACAAAAAAAACCCAAACAAACAAAAACTTTAAATTTTTTTTTTTTTTGAGACAAGTTCTCACCATATTGCCCAGGCTGGTCCCGAACTCCTGGGCTCAATTGATACTCCCTCCTGGGCTTCCTAAAGTGCTGGGATTATAGGTGTGAGCTACCACACAGCCCCTACATAAATCTTACTACAAGTAATATTTTGTGGCTTGCTTTTTTTGTTTCTCAGTATTGTTTATGAAATTTGTCCATATTGATTTTTTTAAGCTGGAGTTCAGTCTGTGGCTTATGTTTTCACTTTATTATTTTCATAAGCAGAAGTTTAAATTTTTTAATGTCAAACCTTTGTGGTTTATGCTTTTTGTGAACTTTTTTTTCTTGAGATGATAATAATATTCTTTCATTTCTTCTGACAATTTTAAGTTGGGTTTTTTCTCCTTTAAGTCTTCAATCCGTTGGGTTTCTTTTTTTTAACTCTTGATTTTTTTAGAGACAGGTCTCACTCTGTTGCCCAGGCTGAATTCCTGGGCTCAGGTGATCCTCTAGCTTCAGCCTCCTCAACATCTGCAAGCCACCATTTCCAGCTAATTTTTTTCTTTCTTTTTCCTCTGTTAGTGGTTTTTGTTTATGCTGTGAGGTAGTGATCAGTTTTTTTTTAATCCGAGTGAAAAGGTAGATCATGCCACTCCTTTGCTCAAAAATTTCCAGATCTTACCATATTCTTCAAAATTAAAGTTCTTACAATTGACTAAAAGTCCCTACATGATCTGGCCCTCTGAAATCTCTCTGACCTCATCTCCTTCCAGTGAACACTGGTCTCCTTGCTCTTCCTTGAAAACTCCCAAAATGTTCAGGGCCCTTGACTTTCTGTTTGTCTACTGGAACTTTTCAGATGTCTATACTTCTCACTTCCCAAGTCTCTGCTCAAAGGTCACCTTATCAAAAATCTCCAACACACACATAGACACACACACACACACACACACACCCTCAACATTTGGTATTTCTCTTCTCTTCTTTCAAATAACTTACCTGGAAAATCTCTCTGGGCCTATTATAGTTGTGTGTTGGGGTAGCAGCAGGGGGTTATTTTTTTTTTTTTTTTTTTTTTTTTTTTTTTTTTTTTTTTTTTTGAGACGGAGTTTCGCTGTTGTTACCCAGGCTGGAGTGCAATGGCGCAATCTCGGCTCACCGCAACTTCCGCCTCCTGGGTTCAGGCAATTCTCCTGCCTCAACCTCCTGAGTAGCTGGGATTACAGGCATGCGCCACCATGCCCAGCTAATTTTTTGTATCTTTAGTAGAGACGGGGTTTCACCATGTTGACCAGGATGGTCTCGATCTCTTGACCTCGTGATCCACCCGCTTCGGCCTCCCAAAGTGCTGGGATTACAGGCTTGAGCCACCGCGCCCGGCGGGGGTTATTTTTTAAAGTATTGATTTAATTTTTTGAATGGCTTACAGACTACATGGGACTTCCAATTTCTTCTTAAGTTAGTTTTAATCATGTCTCTACAAAATGTTTCTTTAAATTAGCCCAGCATAGTGGTGCACACCTGTAGTTCCAGTTATTTGGGAAACTGAAATGGGAGAATCCCTTGAGCCCAAGAATTTGAGGCTGCAGTGAGCTATGATTGTGCCCCTGCACCCCAGCCTGGGCAACAGATACCCTATCTCTAAAAAACATTTTTTTTAAAAAAATTTACTTTTTGAATAGTTAATATATGTCCACAATATAAACATTCAAGTTTCCAAAGTATATACAATGAAAAAATAGATCTGTCTCCTACCTCTGCCTTCCAGCTACCTGGTTCCCCTCTCTTGGTATCAATTTCTTGTCTATTTCCCTAGTTTCTTGTTTATCCTTCCAGAAATATGTCATGTATATAGAAGCATATAACATGTATTGTTTTTACATAAATGGTGGAATGCCATATATATTCTCCTGCACATTGCTTTTCCATTTAACCCTGTGTCTTAGATATGTTTCCAAAGCTATTCGTAAAAGGCTGCCTCATTTCTATTAGTTAACGAATATTCTATTGGATAATGTGCCATCATCTGTTAGTCTCCTTCTGAAGGATGATTAGGCTGTTCTGTCTTTACAGCGGCCTTCTAACCAGTGTGTTTTGCCCATCTTTCATCGCTGCTTCACCCTGCTGTCAGATACACCTTCTCCCTAAACTTCCATTCTCATACTATCATTTTCCTATTCAGGAATCTCCAGCAGCTGCCCAGTTCCCACAGAATAAGGCTGAACTTCTTACCCTTGAACGAATATCCTGCATGGTCTCCGCCTTCATTTCCGTCATGTCTTCCTGTTCCTGAAGACTCTTCCCAAAACTGATAACTTGAGGTTTTCCCAAATGTTCCTCTGATTTTGGGGGCAAATCCTTCCCTCCCTCTGGGCTGGTCACATTGGGCTCTAGGTCCTCTCTGGAACAGCTGCACTTTAAATATTTCAGCCCAGTCTCCCATTGTACACTCTACAGAGCCAGACCAGGTGTTCTGAATTTTGTTTGGGGTTACTAATATTCAAATTGTTCACCAATCGGTCCTTCCTCTTCTAGACTCCAAATTCCTTGTGGGCAGGGACTGATCACTGAGAATGGGAAATACTAAAATTAAAAGATATCCTGACTTTCAAGTAGCTTAAAACCTAACGGCAAGCCAGACATGCAAAATTAAAATACACAACACAATAGGATCTTAGTTTAAGTAGGCTCTAAGCTCAGGGGAATCATGGTGGTGGTGGGGGGAGTCTTTTTTCTTTTTTTTTTTAAAATCTCTGGTCTGTAGTCCAGGGTCTGGTACATGGCAGCTGCCCAATAATTGCCTGTTGAATGAAGAATAACATAAAAAGATGCATTTAAGGCAAGTGTCAACTTCTTGCAATAAAAGCCGTCTTTTATATACAAAGTAAGTCAACAGATAGTGTAGAGTGTGGATGTCGCTCATTTTGGGGGGAGAAAGAGGGCTGTTGTGGGAGGGGACGGACCAAGTTTCAGCCAAGGAGGCAGGCGAAGACACTGCTCTCCGAGTTGGGGGGGGTGTGTGGGGGTCCCGTCCCGGCGGCTGCGGGGCGCGGGGGAGGCGGGGAGAAGACGGGAAGGGGGAGGAGACTCTTGCCTCCTGCCCCACCTCCCCCACCCCGCGGCGGCGGCGGCGCAGGGCGGCCGCGCGGGTGTCGGCACCAGTGGCAACAGCTGCAGCAGCCGCGCCGCCCCCTCGCCCGTGGCTCCCGGGGTGAGCCCGAGCACGTCCGGCGGCTCGCGGCGCTGCAGCCCCGGAAGACAGGAAAGTTCCCGGCCAAGGCGCGGAGATGCCGGGCAGCGACACGGCGCTCACAGTGGACCGGACTTACTCCGACCCCGGCCGGCACCACCGCTGCAAGAGCCGGGTGAGAGTCGCGGGCTGGGGGCGGCGGGAGCGCGCGGGCCCGGGGGCGAGGCGGGCCGGGGCGGCGGCTCCGCGCTAACCCACGCGCCCTCCGCGTTTTGCAGCCGGCCTCCGCTGCCGCCGGAGGTCAGTGCCTCTCCGATCCTCCAAGCTGAAAGGGCTGGGCGGGGGGCGGGCGTCCGAGCCCGGGCTGCGATTCCGGGACCCAGGGTCCGCCTGCTCCCCCGCGGCGCCCAGATCCCTGCGAGCGATGCTGGACGCCCGGTTCCCCGACGGCCCGCGCTCCACCGCCCTCCCAGCCTGGGAGCGCGCGCGGCACGGCGCCCGGAGGCGAGGGAATCCCGCCACCCGCGGCCGCGCGCCTCCAGGTCTCGGGGGTCTCGCCCGCCCCGCCGCATGTCCCTGCGCCCGCCGCGTCTCCCGGCCCTCGGAACGTGTGGCCGGAGACCGAGCGCAGTGCGCAGCCGGAGCGCGGGGAGGCGGCGGACGGGCTCTGCCCAAGTGAAAAGTCAGTCTTTGCGCTGCCTCTCCTGAGTTTCGAGCCGAGCCGAGCAGGCGCCCTCGCCATTGTTTGCAGTGTAATTTGCTGTTGCTGATTTTGGCTGTGAGCGAAAATAGCTCATTCTGAGCCTACTGCAGAGACGAGCCCTGTAGGGCTTCAAAATAAGACGGAGGCCGCAGCCCGAGCGCGGGTCTCTCCTGGGAGAGGAAGCCTCCGCCCTCCCAAGCGAATACCTTTGCCCTCCCGGGCTGCGGGATCGTCGATGCTGGAAGTGAGGCTCTGTAACCCGTTCTCCTCACGACTGATTGAAGTGCCATTTTACACAGCACCTCCTCCACGCTGGCATCTGTTCTGGCAGGAGGCACCTGGAGTTGTTCTTTGCTCCGCCAACTACTTACTCGCTTGTCCGAGAAGTGGGGATTTGGGTGTCAGCCTCTGTGTAAAGTTCATGGAGGTAGAACCGGGCTCAGGTTCTGGCCTGCCACCTCCGAGATCGAGTAACCAACTGGATGGAAATAGTAGCGGTAGTGACGGGGGTTGTATCGTGGCCCTTTGTGCAAGATTTGAGTCTTCACTTGTGTTTTGAAGTAGCAATCCATAGCCCCAGAAGTGAAGCAATGAGTCCCTGGTTTATTTGCCCGCTTTCGCTCCTTCCTTTAGCATCTGTTAATCGTTTTGGAAGAATGATTTGAGTTTTTACAGATTGAATATATCTCGTGGGATGATACCTCCTGCATCCATCTCAACCTCCCAATTCTCTTGTTTGCACTTTCTTTAAAAGTTTCGTAACAGTTTGCTATGCAAATAACCAGAAACTACATTTGGAATAAACATTGAAGATCTGTGCTTACCCACAGGTAGATGTTTCTTCTTGGAGAAACTGTAATACTAGTTTACATAACTGTGAAGAAAAGGAGATCATTTTCGAATGCATTTGTAATTGGGAGGATTCTGTGAAGTTACTGTTGCAGACTTGAAAACGTGTGGAAGCTTGGTTTTTCTTGTCACAACTGTGATCATCTTTGTGTAAACAACAAGATTAGTAATCTTGGCGGGATGGGTGGCTCATTGTCAATTCATTTAAGTGGTTTGGCAAAATTCATGCAACTTTACAGAATTCACTCTTCATAACCTGTAAAATGGTGGTGATGAAGTTTGTGCCTCAGTTGCTTAGGTGGAATGTGGTAAAGCAAATGTGTAATGCAACTGCAGGCTGTGTTTTTGCCCCACCTGCCACTGTTCCCTTTGCACCAGTCTTTTCTGTTAAAAAGTCACAACCTTCTGTGAAGGAGATTTCTTGATTTTATTTAAAATTACACTGATGGGCCGGGCGCGGTGGCTCACGCCTGTAATTCCAGCACTTTGGGAGGCCGAGGCGGGTGGATCACAAGGTCAAGAGATCCAGACCATCCTGGTCAACATGGTGAAACCCCGTCTCTACTAAAAATACAAAAATTAGCTAGGCATGGTGGCGCATGCCTGTAATCCCAGCTACTCAGGAGGCTGAGGCAGGAGAATTGCCTGAACCCAGGAGGTGGAGGTTGCGGTGAGCCGAGATCGCGCCATTGCACTCCAGCCTGGGTAACAAGAGCGAAACTCCGTCTCAAAAACAAACAAACAAAAAAAAACAAAAGCAAACAAACAAACAAAAAAACACAAAAAACAAAAATTAACCGGCCATGGTAGTATGGGCCTATAATCCCAGCTACTCGGGAGCTTGAGGCAGAGAATTGCTTGAACCCGGGAGGCAGAGGTTGCGGTGAGCGGAGATCGCACCACTGTACTCCAGCCTGGGCAAAAGAGCGAGATTTCTGTCTCAAAAAAAAAAAAAAAAAAAAAATTATAAATAAATTAAAATTATGCTGACGATGTTATACCTGCTGCCTTGTTTTGTTAGCATGGAGATTTTTAAATAAGTTGTGTATTAAAACTGAGTTAGACATTAGATGTGCTGATTATCCTAAATTAGCACATTGGGCCGATCAGATCTAGTGAAGAGAAGAAATTCAGAGAAGGGCTAGAACTTTAGCAGACCATAGTCACAGATTCCACTGCAGCGATGCTGGACTTTTTGAGGTCTCAGTTAAAACTTTTCAAATACCTGCTTTTAGGTTTTTTATTGTTGACACAGCGAGGGATAGGCAGAACTAGTGAAATTTTTGTAAACTCCTAAGAACTTTTCTCAAGCAAGGTTCATGTAATTTCAAGTCTATCCTGAGGCTACTAATGAAGGGAAAGCAACAATCATCCCCTTAAATGATTGTAGCTCCTGGATTGTGGAACTCAGATACAGCTGTAAAGATATGTTTTCCTGACACCCAGAAAGTATGTGATGCAAGCAGAATTAGGTGGTAATTTCTTGACGTCACCGTTTCCTTGGGATGAAACTAGTATAGGATTTTAAAATAACCTTTTTATGAACTCATTTGGTAAGTTAGCTTTCCTAAAAATGCTAATGAGAACTGGGGGTATGGGAAGAGTTGATTAATCTTTCTTGGAGTTTCTGCCCAGGAATGGGCTAAGACTCCCTGAGATCAAGTTCTTAGTTACTGAATAGTCATTTTTTTAAAATTCAAAATCGATACCTGTTGAGATAACAGGGAAAATACATGATCTCTCTTGCTGGGCTTATTTCAGCCTTTGAGACTGGAATAATAACGAGGCAATATACTCTTGTAAACACTGCAGAAACTTATTTTTACAGCCAGGTGGACTAACCCAGATTCCCCCCACCCCACCTTAGTGAAAAGGTAGTTAATGAGCTAAGCTGACAAGACAGGATCATTCACATTTTAAAACATCATCTTTGTAAAACTCAGAAATGGTGCTTGTTAACTTAATGCACATCTCTCTCTACTTTAAAAGAAAGAGAATCCATAATTAGACTCCTACTTTTTTTTTCATGCCCTAGATAGTTAAAGCCTATCATCTTTTTAAGAATGCAGGCTGTCTGCTTTCTATACAGTAACTGGCTTTTATTAATTATGTGTGAATTCGTTTTTCTTTTCGTTGGTTTTCATTTTAAATGTTCTAAAATGCCCTCTCCAGCCCTTGGGTATAGTGGTGAACAGCTGGGGCTCTGGACCTATGTGGGTTGTATTCTGGCTCTTCGAGCTTCTGAACTGGGTGACTACTGGGGCAGGGTCCTAAATAGCCTTTCTGAGTCTGCAGTTTCCTATCCATAAAAGGGGAATACTCCACTCTTTTCGGAGTGATTGTGTGTCTTAAATAAGAAAGTATTTGTAAAACAAAACAAAACACACACAAAAGAATGGTGTGTACACTCAGATATTAGCTATTTAAAATTTTTTTTTAAAAGGATTTGTCTTCTCATTGGGTGAAAAAGCTATGTTTGTCCATATGTCATGTTAATATTCTGTTTTGTTGGTGCCACCACTAATCAGAACTGCTAGTTATCTTGAGTGCCTGCCCTTCTCCATCTCTCTAACCTGTTAGCAATACCATTGAACCTTTCTCTGACATTTCTCTGAAATTGGTTTCTTCCATTTCTGTCAGTCATCCCCCACCCCCTTAGTCACTTGTGACCTTCACCAACTTCTGTTCTATCCTGCATGCAAGGACCATATTATTTTCCCTACAGAACCACTTGCATTAGGCTAGTCCCCAGAATACAGATCTTGTACCAGTGCTATTTGCTACCGGTGCAGTCTTGGAGTCTGTAAGCCTTAGTTTCCACTTCTACATAATAGGGGTGTTTTGAGGAATAAATTCAGTAATATCTATAAAATGATTAATTTCTTGCCAGGTGCACAATAAGAAATTAATGGATGGTAGCCACTTTCAATACAGGCTGAACATCTCAATCCAAAAATCCAAAATCCAAAATGCTCCAGAATCCGAAACTTTTTGAGTGGCCACATGATGCTCAAAGGAAATGCTTACAGGAGCATTTCTGATTTCAGATATTTCTATTTGGAATGCTCAGCCAGTAAGTATAATACAAATATTCCTAGGTGGGGCACGGTGGCTCACTCCTGTAATCCCAGCACTTTGGGAGGCCATGGTGGGTAGATTACTTGAGATCAGGAGTTCCAGACCAGCCTGGTCAACATGGTGAAAAATATAAAATAATTAGCTGGGCATGGTGGCAGGGCCTGTGATCCCAACTACTAGAGAGGCTGAGGCAGGAGAATCACTTGAACCTGGGAGGCATAGGTTGCAGTGAGTTGAGATCGTGCCATTGCACTCCAGCCTGGGCAACAGAGTGAGACTCTATCTCTGAAACAAAACAAAATTCCAGAATCTAAAATCTGAAACACTTCTGGTTGAATGGGGGATACTCAACCTGTACTATATGAAAGAAAGGTTTGTGAGCTTGGAAATGGACAGGATGCTAATTTTTTGAGAAGTATAGACTGTTCCAGCATTGCTAGCATTTTGTACCTCCTTGCATCATGTTTCTCATCACATTGACTGTTTATATGTTTATTGCTTACATGTATTTATAAGCTATCAACTGACACTTTGAGAGCAAGATGCTTCATTTATTCAAAAAATACTTACTGAGCACCTTCTGTGTGCCGGCTGCTAATTCAGGCATTAGGAATACAATGATAAACGAAACAGTCTGGTCTCTCTGGAAGCTTAGTATCTGGTAGGTGAATCTCATGTATACTTGTGACTTCAGACAATACCCCTCTCTTGCACAGGAGGAAATGATGATAATACATGCAGAAATCTCTAACATCTGAAGTAAAACTTGTGTCGAGCATGAGTGCCACCTCTAGTATATCTTCAAGTGTTTCGTGGCTTGGAAATCCATCTACAATTATGTGATGAGTAATGACCAAAGTCAGTGAAGAAGAGGTTGCTGTAGCCCTTCTCACGGTGGAACTGGTTGGACAGTGATGTCATAAGCTGATGATTACATGCTTACTCTCTGGGCAGGAAGTAGGGGGAGTAGAAACACACCTCTGTCCTAGAGGTCTGACCCAGGGAAGTGGTAAGCTGAGTAGTATATGGATATCATTTTAAATCAGTGATTTTTATTCTGATTTAAAAAGATTTAGAGAGACTGAGTAAAGGTGAGTGTCTCAAGCCACATTTTTCTTACATTTCGGATGAGCAAAGTGATGCGGTGTGTGTTTTTCGAGCTGTGCTTTGCTGCAGGCTCACCAGTTCTCCCTTTAGGAAAGAATGATTTGCCAGCCACCACCAGCACACCCTCCTGTCACATCCGCTATAGAGAGCACCAAGACAGCTGCTACCAAGTTGGATCGCAGGATGTGTTTGTGCTTCAGACCCTCTGCCTGAATTTCCAGGGCTGCTGCTAAGGTCAGAAATCAACCGAGTCCTACTTGGAAAATGCCCACAGCTTGACTTAGAAGAGTCTGCAGCTTTCAGCCCTGCTGTTTCTTGATTGTGTTTTCATGTTTTCAGTGGAGGGGAGAGGGGTGGCAAGAGAAAAGGAAGAGAACCATGAATCACTGTACTGTGAATCAGAATGAGGACTCTTCATTCCTTCGAAAGGAAACATCAGGATATATGGTTTGTACATAAGCCAACTGCTTCCATTGACTTGGGAGGAGTGCTGCCTGAAAGAAACCATAGTATATTTGTGGATTTTTCCTCTTTAAGGAGGCAAAAAGAACATAAGTGAAAAGATGAATGCAGTCACAATAATAATGTGTACTGAGTGCCTCCTCCACACCAGGCAATATCACGCACT